TAATGCGAACCACCACGACCAGGAATAAATGGATAAATTACACACAACTAACCAAGGCTCCCAGAGTTAAAAGGGCTCAGAGCCCATCCAGTCCAACTCTTTCATGTCACAGATGGCCAAACTGAGGCCCTATGGCAGTGATGGCAAACCTTTTGAGCTCGGCGTGTCAGCATTTTGAAAAGCCCAAACTTCACTCTGGTGCTGTGTCACATATAGAAATGTTTTGATATTTGCAACCATAGTAAAACAAAGACTTATATTTTTGCTATTTATTTTGTATATTTAAATGCCATTTAACAAAGAAAAATCAACGAAAAAAAATGAGTTCGCCATCACTGCCCTATGGGATACAGGGTTTTCGTCAACCTATTTTAATAGGGAAGTTAGAAGTTTCTATATTAGAAAATATAAATCACAAGCTAAAGGCATTTACTTACACACAATCTACAGCTGTGACCTTAGAAAGTCACCTTGCTGAGCCTCAGTTTCCCTACTTCTTAGTATTTATTTGTTAACAGATATTGTGGTATTAAGGCAATTATTCAGTGAAGACAAGGTTTTCATCACAGTTAACACCAAATCTTTTAATTCCTTTTCCAGAAAGTTATAGAACAGGATAAATATCCAAAATACCTTTTTAGAGATTCTTCAAACTATTAAACACACACACACACACACACACACATTTGCTCCCATGGATCCCATGGTGTATTGGGCAGAAGAAGCCATATCCCAGGAATAACATTCGATGTATTTTTTTTTCTTCATTTTTCACACTGCCACTCTCCTCTCCATGAACTCCAGTTTAACAATGTCCCTTTTTAAAGTGAGTTGCCAGAGTTGAAGAAAAAACTTCTCGCACAGAGTAGAGTGATATATCACCTTCTTTCTTTTGCATGGCATACTTCTATTAATGCAACCTGCCTTTGCAGTTGCATGTTGGACAATGTAACAGTGTTAACCAAGGCAGAGGTAAATGTGAGCTAAATTCCCACCTCCTTTTCACCTCTAATGTCACATCTCTCCAACTCTGTATTTAATCAGAACACAAGCACAAGTCATTAAACCACTGAGTAGGATCTAATCATTTGTAACACCTTGTTCTATCATTACAATGATCAGTCATGCAAGATGAATTACCTTGTGTGTTTCTGGAAGCAATTGGTTTTCGTGACTTTCCCTGGAAAGACAAGGCCACAGTATAAGCAGAGTGCTGTGCTAGGACCTTTGAAATGCTGGGGGAATCCCACTACTATCTTAGGAAAAGCAGATGTAGTCTAAAGGTGACAATTTGAGGACTGGAAAGCCAATGCATTTCCTGGGTCAAATGACTGCTTCTTTAGGCCCCTAGGCAGTTCCCATCAACTACAAAGTTGTGGGCAATGGTGTTAAAGCTGCTTCACACCTGAGTCATTTGCCCACCCACAATCAAGTACTCATTTGGGTTTTAAAAAGACGTTTACGAGGAGAACCAAGATGGCGGCATAGGTTAACGCCGGAGTTTGCCGCCTCGAACAACCATTTCAAAAGTGAAACTAAAAGACGGAAGGGACATCACCCAGACCCACAGGAACGCTGGCTGAGTGGAAGTCCTACAACTAGGAGGAAACTGCCTTTGCAGTTGCATGTTGGACAATGTAACAGTGTTAACCAAGGCAGAGGTAAATGTGAGCTAAATTCCCACCTCCTTTTCACCTCTAATGTCACATCTCTCCAACTCTGTATTTAATCAGAACACAAGCACAAGTCATTAAACCACTGAGTAGGATCTAATCATTTGTAACACCTTGTTCTATCATTACAATGATCAGTCATGCAAGATGAATTACCTTGTGTGTTTCTGGAAGCAATTGGTTTTCATGACTTTCCCTGGAAAGACAAGGCCACAGTATAAGCAGGGTGCTGTGCTAGGACCTTTGAAATGCTGGGGGAATCCCACTACTATCTTAGGAAAAGCAGATGTAGTCTAAAGGTGACAATTTGAGGACTGGAAAGCCAATGCATTTCCTGGGTCAAATGACTGCTTCTTTAGGCCCCTAGGCAGTTCCCATCAACTACAAAGTTGTGGGCAATGGTGTTAAAGCTGCTTCACACCTGAGTCATTTGCCCACCCACAATCAAGTACTCATTTGGGTTTTAAAAAGACGTTTACTTACACACACAAAATCTACAACTCTTCCTTATGAGACTTACCCAGGATATCCAAAACCGCTACATGCCTTTGTAAATTTCCTTTGCCAGTGTTCACTAAGGGGCAGGTTTCAAAATACACACGTTTCCCTTGTGTTGCTCAAACAGGCTGAGATGAATACTAGTCTCATCTCCTCACTTGCTACCTTGAAACAGTTCCTGCTAATGACTGGAGAACAATTCCTCCCCCATCCCTCCACCCCCATTTTATAGCAGGACAAGGGGCCACATGCCTATCCTTTGGGTGAAAACTATAAACCCTGTTTCATGACTCCTTTCTGTAGTGTCTTAAAACTTTTTTTTGAAGTGGGAGGTGGGGGCAAGGTCATGGACCAGCTGGAGAATTTAAATAACAGCTATGGATGCTGCCCCTTGAAAAATGCAAATAAGAATGTCCAAGCACTTTTGTACATGACTTCAAGGGACTCACTCGCCTCTAAGTTCTATCTGTGGACCCCAGGTTAAGAAAGCTTGCTTAAAATGAACAAATAAGAAGACCAGGGATTATTCGAGGTTTTCTTCCTGGAACAATCCTAGCCAGAGGGGGAGGCTAGACCAGGGCTTCCTCCACCCAAGACACTGATAATAAGAGCAGTTTCCACTTAACGCGCTCATGAGCGCGGGATGCGTTAGGCACGTCAAGAGTCTAGGGCTGCAGACTCCTCCCAGGCCCGGGCCCTGGTTGGGCTTGTGCAGGGAGGCAACCGATTGATGTGTTGCTCTCACATCGATGTTTCTCTCTGTCTTTCCCTCTCTCTTCCACTCTCCCTAAAAATCAATGGAAAAATATCCTCGGGTGAGGATTAACAAAAACAAAAACAACAAAACAAAGAAAAGGAGTCTAGTCAGGACTGACACAGAGTAAGTGTCCAATGAGTGAAGGTGCTCTCTTTTTTTCCCCAAAACAGAACTCTATCAGGAAGATGATACACAAAGCTTTAGCATCCTTGGGAGAATGGCTTTACCTGTCACCTGCTTGACCAGGATGGAGACAATGTCAGAAAGGAACTCTGGGAAATGGAGAAAAGGAGCAGGAAGCAGCATTGATCTGCTCCCAGGTTCCCCTGGAGTCTCCATAGCTCTAAAGGGCTTCATCCATCCTTACCTCGAAGTAGAAGCGCTACAATCAATGCAACCAGCACAAATCCCAGGGAGGGAGCAATGATCTTCGCAAGGAAGGAGCTGTCCACCTCCTTCAACTGGTGAGACACAGGGAAGATGATTGGGCCATTTGTTTCTGAAGGTTCGCACTCACATGAGTTTCCCATCCCAACCACACCCTCCAATGGCCAGAGCTTCACTGCATCTTACCACCTTTTGCCCCATGTGTCTCAAAACAAAGCCAACCTTACAAATAAAAGAAAACTATTTTTTAGCCCGGCTGGTATGCTCAGTGGTTGGACATCAACCCGTGCCTCAGGAGGTCACCAGTTTGATACATGGTCAAGGAACATGTCTGGGATGTGGTTGTGGGTTTGATCCCCAGTAGGGGACATCCAGGAGGCAGCCAATATATATTTCTATCTCTCCCTTCCCCTTCCTCTCTCTGAAATCAATAAAAACATTTAAAAAATTTTTCTTTACTTTCTGAAAACCCAAAACATGGACCAGATACAGGCTGTGGGGTTTAGGGGTTTGAAGGTAAAAATAAATAAATAAATAAATAGATAGATAGATAGATAAATAAAGGTGCTGTGTGCTGTGTTCACTGTCAAATCACTAGGCTGGGCACTGCCTGAGTCCTCCTAGCTCTCCCTCGCCCTGCACAGTCCTTCTCATGGCTGACTCAGACTTCTAGAGGCAACAAGATCAAAGAGGAAAACGGAACCCAATGTCACATTTCCTACCGCAGTGGTTTTCAAAGTGTAGCCAGGGAACCCATGAGATTAAAATGATGTTCATGAGACATTACTGGCTATTTTGACTATCCTCTCTCCTGAGCTGTACAGTGGAGATTCCCAGAGGTTGCCAGGGGTACGATGGTATGGAGAAATGAGACTCTAAGCGGATATGACAATCTCTCTGTCTTCTGTTGAGCCACATACTGAGATCTGTGAATGTAAAGCATTGCCACTTTCCTCACTTATATTTTTTCATTTGGGAACAATGGTGGCAGGTGACAATTCTGCAGGGTGTCACTAATCCCGGGCCAATTGGAAGGAACACACCATGATTTCCCACGTATTTTTATTTTCTATTTTTGGCTTTTCAAAGCATCTGTGCATATAGAAGTCATAATATTTATGTTATTTCTGCTGAGAGTACAAGTCTACAAATTCCTTAGCTATTTCAGAACATTCGTGATGCATTTTGCAGCTTTGGTGTAGTTTCTCTCCCTAATCCATTCCTGCAAACCCCTGATGTAGATTTTAAAAATCTAAGTCACATACTTCAAATATTTCACAAAAATGTTTACCTGTTCTGGTTCAACTTCATTTTCCACAAGACTTGTTGTCTCAGGGGCTGGGAAGGAAAAAGGAGAGGAACTGTCTATTTTTCCTGTGGGAGAACGAAATATCACATTTTGAAATAGGCATTTCAGAGCTAAGCTGGAATTTTAGTTGATGTGTTTAATCTTTTAATATCATCTTTTTTGATACAATTTATTTATGAACATTTGATATGGTTTTATCTAAAGCTCATCCGCTACCCAACATTACCCCACAGGAACATCCCCATTTTATAGATAGGTAGAGTGAGGCATTAGACCAACAGACTATCAGGTCTACTAGTAAGTTTTCTGTAGGCCCCAACAATGGGAAGATTTTTATCCAGAAGAAAATTTGTCACTCTATCAGTTAACATATATTTATTGACTATTTATTATAGGCCAAATACTTATGGTAGCTGTACCATTGACCTTGTCAATGAATTTACAACTTAGTGCAGAAGACCAAATTTAAACAAATGATGTGAACAATTGAAAAACAATTATAATTATGCAAAATTCTGGGAAGAATTAGTATAAGATATCATAGGTCCATACCATGAGGATGGCTGACCTGTTTGGAAGGTCGAGAAACGTGTTCTTGAGAATGTGAAGTTTTGGCTGAGATGTGGAGTCATTTATATACCGTATTTGCCAGCATATAAGACGACTGGGCGTATAAGACGACCCCCTAACATTTCCACTCAAAATACAGAGTTTGTTATATACTCGCCGTATAAGACTACCCCCTCTTCCGCACACCTTCCACACACCAAATAAAAGGTAAAACAATATCAGATTTGATTTTAACATTTTAATTTATATTCAAATGCTTATGACATGCAGGAAAACTGTCACAAGGCTGTATGTAATCAAACATATACATAAAACAGTGCAAGTTTATTACCGGTAAACATACCGGTAATTCACTAAAGAAAACACACTCTATAGACTGGTACCGTAGATGCTTCTCAGGAACACAGGCAAGCAGCCCACAACCTAGAGGGACTGTCAATGATAGAAGTAAGATAACAAATAGAGGTAGAGAGCAAGTGCCGGGCAAGTCCCTAGCAA